TCCCCCTTCAAGACCGGTTGAAAGAAAGCTTATCTGTTGTTTTTTTGTTGTTGTTTTTTTCTTGTTTCTCTGTGTTTCTGGTGTTTGTCTGGCGTACTATGTATACGAGATCTTGCTTTCTCGTACGAGTTGACTTTTGATAATGTATTGGACTGTTCCCGCTTTTGGCCGCCGACACGCTACCGAGTTGGGTGTTCGACCTCTGGCCAATTTTGATAGTGACCCCGTTTCGGGTACGTGGGGTCGTTTACCTCTGAGCGAGGCAGGGGCTTTAAGTAAGACACTCAAAAGACACGCCTTGAAACCTGCTCTTTGAGGTTCCTCCAGTACTGGGAAGTACTTTAAGTACATTGCACTTAAAGTACCACTTCAAGTAGGTTTACTTGAATACATTCTCTGAGCATGTACTTGCAATTAAGAAATACATTTTTGAAATTAATTAAGAAATAAAACCTCTTAATTATGATTGTTCATTAGCTCGCCTGCGTTTTGGCTTTTATTACATGTACTTGTACTTTACTTAAAGTATTTTTTTTTTGTACTTTCCGGGGAAAGTGCAACTCCTAATTTCAAACTAAATTCTCCAAATTTTAAAACAAAAAAAAAATGGCGTATCGTATTGTGAAAACGCGTTATCGTTTTTCGAGACGTCATCTCGTCATTTCCCTGAGTGAAGTAATGGCGGCTATAGACGGATACAAATAAGTGCCTTACAAGTTGATTGTGTTAAATAGTTTGTCAGCGAGAGTAAAACGAACTTGGCCACTTGAATATATCCAATATTTGCCGCCGTTTCCTAAAATAACTGATGCACCCCCGATTGCCCACAGGGCAATGCACACACGTTTAGAAAAACACTATAGGGAAATGAAAGCGCATTATGAAAGATTGTATTAAAAGTACTTATACTTTACTTCGAAAGTACAATGTATTTATAGTGCCTTACTTCACGTGCATTGCGTACGGTGTCCTACTACTTCACTTGAAGTACATAACCTCCCATTTACTTTGTACTTTACCTCAACTACTTTTAAGATGTACTTTACCCAACACTGGGTACGTTATACCGCGGTTAAATATAAAACGGACAAAGGAGGCAAATTCCGTCTTTTTGCTAGCATTGGTAATTAGTGTCTACAACTTTGAACGAATTTCTATGTAAATTATATTTACAATTTAAGTTCTTTTGTATCGGTCGGGGAACACTTTATAAAAAAGAATTGACAGCGACCTTTATCTCCAAATTCCTATAACGCATGAAATGCTGTATCTAAGGACAGATCGTCTAAATTTATTGAAGAAACCTTAAACGTTTCAGAAAGTGAAAGAAAAGCTACTTTTTTTCCATCTTCTTTTATTAATTTCCTCGCCAAAGTTAGCAGCGAAACTGACTTGGTACAAAAGTGACGTCACGTAAATGTTTCCGCTAAATTTAGTGAGAAACTAAATTGGTGTATGGGTCTCGTCACGTCAGGTCACGTGACATCAATTTCCCGCTACATTTAGCGGGGAAAACTGCATTAGTGTTTAGGCCACGTGACATCAATTTCTCCGCTAAATTTAGCGCGAAATGCAAAAAGACGGGCGGACACAATTTTGGAATTGGGGGATTCCTTAAAACGCATTTCATGCTTTCAAACTTCAAACAAAGTAAAACTTCGTCGAAATTTGTCGAAATTCGAAGGTTCGCCGGACAAGTCAAAAATCAGGTTCGACAAAAAGTTCGAAGCATCTTTACAATATTAACGGCCTGCGCGGTTGATTGCACGCGAGCGCATCGACGCAGCGGGAGGGCGCGCAGAATAGCGCGCGGGCAATATACGGCTCTGCGCGCGGGTTCCCTCCACGCAAAATCGGTGTCGCTTTCTTCCGCGTTACAACGGGATTTCGAGGTCGCGCCGACTGTGTGTCTCTCCTACCGTGTCGATGGACTGGATGTATACGTAGCGGATGGCTCGTCGCCTAGAGAGAGCCTAGATTTAAGAGAGAAAGCAACTCGAACCATGGAGAGTGTTTGCAATAGACCTTTTTTTTATATAAAATTCAGCGCCGTCTGGTGGCTCAAAAAGCAGTTTCCCTTTCGAAAAACTAATGGTTGGTCATACAACCGCACTTCATGAAACACCGTCGCTTTCGCACGTCAATGGGGTTCAATCCCCGCCCCTGCCCGTTTCGATCTGGATGAGCATCGTACCGGCGTGCGGTCGTGTATCACTACTGCGTGGTGCACGTTAAAGACCCCAGCTTAGCGGTTGTACCGCACTGGCTAAATTTCTCATCTACAGCTGAGACACCAGACGCCCACTGAGGCAGACTAACTTCCGGCTGTATAAACATACACACAACAATTTGCTTTGCACGTCAATGGCGGATGAGAATTAGTTCCACCATCACCGTATTGTTCTTTCTTGATTTCTTTAAGTTTCGATAGGGTGAACATAAGAACTGACGCAATCGGTGACCCGTAAGTCCCCTGAATAACGTTGGGTGACCAAAAGGCCATAGAGTCCAACTTGTGCCAATAGATCGACTGGAGCACACTTCGAAATGAACGCTTACGTAGCCGTTGAATCTGAATCCTGCGTCGTGTTGTACTGACGTCTCGGGCGGACGGGCTTCATCTATCGTCCGCTTGGCAGTATCTTCAACTTCGCCCTTCATCAGCCTCAAGAGGGCCGCCATTAGTTTGGCAGAGGTGGCATACACCGAGATGATGATGATGATGTTAGTGATCAAAGTTGCCCGACTCGATTTCTAAAAGGATATACTGAATGGCGGACACCTCCTTGGCGGATTGGTCGCAACTGCGCATGCGTTGCGTTCTCCAGTGGCGAGGAGAAAAGCGGGGGACAGGTGGAGACGCTGGCAGACAATCGACGCCACCTTCCCGCAGATCGTATGTAGAGCGCAAGTTCGTCTGCTTCTTTTCTAGAAGTTATGTTGACGTCAGAACGCCATGTTGTGATTGGCTCTGATTGAAGGATAGTGGGTAGAGGCAGCTTGCTTTGAGGTCCGAACCAATCAGAGCTAGGCGTTCTGACGTCACCACAACCCCCGAAAAAGAAGCAGACGAACTTGCCCTTCGCATTGCAAACTCGGCCCACGAACCACGTGATTTCGTTTGAGCGGTTGGAAGCACTCTGATATCCAGGCACACTACTCGTCGCCGCTTGAATGCACCGCCTCGAGCGGGAGCAAAGATAGCTGCGGCGTACGCGGGTCGAACGTGGGACGAGTCAGAAGAGATTCGACACAGACGCCGCAGGAGACTTCGAAGACCTGCTTCGAGCCATTCTGGACCGCCTTCAGTTTTGTTCGCTTGTTTTTTTGTTTTTTTTTTTGTTTTTTTTTCAGAGGGAAGAACCGCCGAGTGCGGCTGCGGTAGAAACGACGTTGTCGTTGCGATATCTTTGTGACTCGCTGTTGTGGTTCATGTTCTGATCTGTCAAATGTATCTGTCTTCTGATATGCCCCCATGCACCGGTGAATAGCACAGAGCTGTCAAAGCTACGTTTGTAAGGTAATTAGGCTACAGTTTTTGTTTTTCTCGTTGAAATGTAATTAGAGCATAGTTTTTTTTTTTTTTTTTTTTTTTTATGCGGCGCTCGTCTCATCACGAAGAATTTGATAATGGCAACAATTTGAAACTAAATCTATTTGCATTTGTGTAGTTAACGTATTCATGAGAAGCAACTGTAACAAAACTTAATCACGGAATGACCAAAAATAAATGCTTTTTGTGTGAGGCTCATCAAAATATTAGGCGCTGAAGAAAATAAGTCAGCTGCATTAAGTCATTGTTTCGAACCACTTTTTGTTCCCGTTCCGCTCGTTGAAACGAACGGCGAAAGAGCCGAAGCACGAACCTGATCCCGCCAGACTGCCGTCTCCTACCGCACAATCCTATACCCGTTGTCACGTCAAGAAAAAAAAAAAAAAGTTTCGCGCATTGATCTGGGGTTGCGCGAAATAGTCCTTGAAAGATTTGGTTGTGAAAGGAAGAAAGTATGTGCTTGACGTCTGACACGTGTACACTTTGATAAAATGATATAACGCTAATCAAGGATGAGGATATACCTTAATTTTATACACGAGGGGGAAAAGTAGAAACATTCTGCGAGGGGCCGGACTTTTGTTTATGATTTCTGTTCTTGTGGTGAACACGAGTGTAGTTTCTACTTCACTGTACTTCAGTCATCTTCGTGCTTTGCTACCACTTACCCGAAGATTAATCTGAGAACGCAAAAAAACATTGTTTGCGTTGTCCAGAAATGTTTAAACAGTCCTCGACAGGACAAACCAACTTGAGCTTCCCTGAAACCCGTATCCAATGATCGGGAAATCGTCATTTTTCAAACCGTACACGATCGCCAAGCGCGTCCGCTCTGCGCAAAGCCCCAAAATGGCGGCGGCGCTCACAAGATGATCGGCTGCGCGTGCAACGAAGTGTTAGCTCGCACTTGAAGGGGAGCACCTACTGGTTTTTAACCCGTTAGCAACTACAGCCCGGAGTGTACCCAAGACGATCTGGGCCCCAGTCCCACAGTTCATATATCATTCAAAAGACACAAGCAACAGCCCATCAGACAGTGTCTTCACACTGTCTTTTGCGCTATGTATTGAGCAGTCTGACGGCGGCTTAAAAAAATTCACAGTCTCTTATATTATCCCTGTGACGACTTGAAGCCGAAAACCAAGGCGCCCAACCCGGTGATAGCTAACCTCCGAAGACAGCGCGCTAGCTGACGACGCACTTTTGACCCTTTTAATCTCACAGCATGTCGCACGCACGCTTTTCACCGCTGCCCGAGCGAGAGTGTCCTCCTCTCCCGCTGGGTTTGCGCCGCGCGCGCACTCCGCCAATTCTGGCACAAGTCACACCATCTCGTGGTCCAGTGGCGAACCGTGGGTTTTGGTACCTTTTGTGTCGCCGACGCGTTTTCGCTCGAGGACTGAACGATAAGACATATAAGGCTTTCGCCTTAATAATTCACACTCACCCAGTTTTCCTGGAGAGATGTCGAACTGGGAGGGACCATCGGATACAAACTGTGGACTAGATGAGATTTCCTGGATCGGGAAAAAAAAAAGCGACACAATATTCAGGAAGGAGGTGAGGGTGAACTTTGTTTGCACGGTGTGAATATATTTCGTCTCACAAAATGGCTTTCTCTGTTCGTCCTAACTCTGATCTTAACAACCGTTCGACGCTTACGAAGTCACGACCAACCTCGCCTCAACTTACCGGTGAACGTTGTCCCCGAGCGTTTGTGATTGGGGCAAATTCCTACGTCGGTTTCTTTTCCGCAGCTTCCTGCTTTGGCCAGCAGATTCGAGTACTCTTATTGAAGCGACCACAAATAAATTACGCCGCAGGCCTTCTTTGCGCGTTTCTATACTCCGTTTCACCTTACGTTGTACCGCAGCGAAGGCTAGAAGCGCGAGCTCACAGCGATGGCAGCTGCCCTTGCGGGCACGAGAGCCTGTGCCGCCGAGATGCGCCCTAGGGCAAGGAGCTCGCGCTTGTAGCCTTTCCTGCGGTACAACACAAGATGAAACAGAGTATAGGCAGAGACTCGTGACAGCATGCAGCCTCCAAATCCCCCGGGTTCATTGCAGCAGATACAGCCATTTATGAGTAATCGGGTTAAGAATTCGGGGCTGGATCTTCGGCTAAAATACCGGCCGTTAAAAGGACATTGATAAAAGTGCCCGTAGCGTCATCAATATATGTTTTTAGTGAGCGGCGTAATGAGCGCAGTCATATATCAAACCACAAATAGCGCTACGTACAAGGACCAGTAAAGAACCGCGGACACACTGCTAATACATCATAGAATAGACAGTGTGCAGACACCGTCTTAGTCGTGTTTTTTTCCTGTACGACGGTCGCCTCACATCGGTGATACAGAAACTGTCCGAAAAACCACTTAATTCGAAAGCGAACCAGCTTAATTCGAACCTGCTTGAGGCGTGTCCGCAGAAAAGTCTGTCATGATGTCTGCAGAGAAACTCCGTGACTCTTGTGTGATGTATGATCAATGCGACTGCTGCTTAAGACGTGAAAAGGACAAACGCTTGCCCTGTCCACTCGTCCTACACGACTCCGCCCATTTCACTATTTGTGTCTCGCTGTTTCGCCGAGTTTACCCAACTAGACTGAAAGTCCTTTTTGGGGCTTACTATCTAGACCGGTTATAACGAAGTTGGTTATAACGAAATGGCGGCTACAACGAAGCGATCACGATTTCCCATTCTCTTTTGCACTTCGTTATACCTAAATCGGTTATAACGAAATAGCGGATATAGCGGAGTGATTTCCGATTCCCGTTTACTTTGTTATAACCGGTCTCGACAGTATAAGGTCCGCAATTTTTGTTTCACATCATTTACTCCCCTGACCTGGGGGACTTTACCGTGCCTCACGTAATAGTGATCCTTGCGCTAACGCAAAAAGTTTTAATAAACTTTTTAGACGCCATTTTGTCCTTATCGCCAAAGTTGTCTTTGCGTGGATTTATCCTTGTCAATTTAGGACGCTAAGCAGCTCCTTCCTAGCAGGTGTCTGTACAAGTTTGCCAAATAAAAGTATCCATTCTCGTTCCCATCTTGAGAACCATAATATAAAAAAGGTCGGTTCCTCGCGGGGCACTATTAATTTTCCCCTTTACGTGGTGAATCAGGACACTTCTTTATGCATTTAAGGTCATTCATTTTACCATTGATATATACGCAAACAAAAAAAAAAGAGTAGGTTTGTTTTCTGAGAACTAAACCTCCTAGGAAATACTCTCTGCAGCGTATACTACCAGCGCGCAAGGTTACAACGAATTCATACCATTGCAGTGATCACCTTCTACGAGCGCCATCTTTATCATGTATGGAACGGGCATGCGCCGTAGCTACTTCTACATAATACCGGAAAGTGCAACAATCTGATTGGCTGCGGAAAAATTATAAATATTAGAGCTGGCCACGCCTGCGTTTCTTAAAATGCCGGTGACTAAGGTGACTCGTCATGTTTCGCCCGGTTGATAATCACCTACCTTGGGCCTCAACCAGGCGAACTTGAACGGGGGCGTTTGGTGATAGAACACCGACGTCTGGTTGGCCGGGAAGTCGGGGTCCTCGAAGAGGACGTGGCTGTCTCCGTTCGTCGTGGCCTTGATGAGGCTCTTAGGGACCTTCTCGAGGTCCGCCATCCGGGAGGCCGATGTCGCGAGGCCCGGTCACGCCGCCTGCGAAAGGGAGAGACAATGGGGCCGTTACATCCCGGTTCCTCTGCTCCGCACTCTAGGGTTTGGTAAAATAGCTGGCGACGGTAGCTTGAGGAAACTTCTGTCGACCATTCTGGGTTCCCGTGAGTCACGCTTAGTCCAGCTGCTTGCAATCCGGCTCGCTCGTGGCGCCGAGCAAAGACGACGAATTTGAGCGTATTTTGTGCTAAAACCCTCGGTATTGCGAAGAGCGTCTTTTGCAAGTAACAACCACCAACACAGATGACCATGAACTTTTGACCGGAAGTACTAAGCGTTTGCCTTGTTTTCCGTTGTGTGTCTACATTTGATAGTGTTTACAACTGCTCAGTCGGGATAACGTGCTTATGGATCGCGGTTACAAAACAAGGTGTGAGGAGGTGGACAAAGCGCCCAATGCCTGCAAACGTCTCGAAGCATTGTTCAGCATCTCTGCCTTCCTCGCCATGGGCAACGCGCGGATGCGCAAGAGCAACCGATCTACGTGGTAGGTGCCCGCCACTAAATTCCAAACGCTTCGCATGATGGTAAGTTGCTCTCTTTCTTAAATCAAAACTTTTTCTTTTTCCGTTGTTACGCGAGAAACTCGGGGAACGAAGTGCTCACTCTCTAAGCGTAGATCATTTAGTGGCTCTGCCATAAAGTTTGTCTGTCACGAGTAACGCTCATACGCCTCTATTGAAAAACCATACCCGTCGCAAACGACGTTTTAACGTGAGTCGCGTTGCACTCAAGCCTGCCCAGAAGCAATTGAGTCTGTTTTATGAATGTTTAGAGAGTGGGATGTTAATCTGCCTCTAGGGGGGATCCCGGTGTCTCTGCAAATCGATCCTCTACTACCACAGCAAGAAACATTCATTCAAGCAAGCAGCAACGAGCTCGGCCGACCGCATAATCTCGAACCAAGGTCGAACTATTAATTAACTCGACGATTAATGCCCTAAATCGGCGGAGCCAATTGTCCGGCTCACCGATGAAGTCGTAATATCTGTCAGGCTTGTCGCGGCGCGCGAAGATTGCATAACCTTAATAACCTCGCGCGTTTAATTAGTCGAAAACTCCATTGCCTCGTGGCGACATTGGGGTCACTTAGCTTGGGCAACCACAGTTCTCGATCGCAGAAACAAAAGCGATAACGTCAAGACAATGCCACTCCCCCCAAAAAAACAGCAAACACTTAACGTCAAAAGTTTCAAACTGAAAGCGAGAGTTCGCTGACCGTGCCCGAGGAGCGCGCTGATTGGATTAGGTGTCACGTGACTCTACAATCCGGGCACCGCTCAAGCTTGTATACGAGACTGTCATTGTCCAGCTGTGTTTTCATTGTGTCGGGACGGCTTTTTCCAAACGCCGCACGAGTTGTGTTGTTTGGCAGTTGCGTAATTGTCAATGGAGCGCTCAGCTCACGTCGTACGCCCCACCAGTCCTTCTGGTGCCACAGCGAAGAGAACGAGCCGGTGCTTTCATTGTCTTCCGTAACTACGAAGACAATGACGTGTATGCCGTGTGTCTTTCTTTTCTTCCTAGGCGACAGTCTTTCGTGAAATCCTAGTCTAGAATGTGACCGAGGCTTTGCTCATTATTTTTTATTTAATTCCTTTCGAAGGAAGCCGTACGTTTTTGTTGCACTGCTTGGTTTGTTTAGGAGATAAAAACCTAAAGATTGAATCTTATGGGGTTTGGCAATTAAGTACCTTACAGTATCTATTACGTGGTTTTTAAAGAAATATTGTTTTTAGTCTTGTGCTTTCTTTCGCGTGTCTCCATGTTCAGCTGCTTGTTTTAGCATACGTATTTTGTTGTTTAGCGTACTTAGCATACATATTCCGCTGTCGTAGATTGTGCATACGTATATAGCTGTTGTCCTGCCCTGATCTGTAAGGGGGTGGGCCCCCTGTCGGGCCAACACCACCTAACATATTCAGGGTTTGCGGACACATCCTTCTCTTCTTCCATGGAACGTCATCACAGCCGGACGGCGCCGACTCGGGTATTGGAGCCGAGCCCAACTCCGAGCGTCCATGGACGCCCTGATTGGACACGAGGGCCAGCCGAACGCTGACGCGGCACTCGCGTCCAATCGGTGTTTCTCCTCGATCTCACCGTGAGTGCGTCACAATTAGAGTGCACAGGCTCGTCAGGTACCTTTGTCCCTGCTTCACTCCTCGGCATTGCCGGTGAAAAACAAACAAACAAGCAAGCGAACACATAAGTAAACGAAAGAACAAGCAGACAAACGAACAAACAAATATATCAATGTTGACAGAAAGCCTAGTAACCACCAGCAGTTGTTTACATCGGATTTGGTAGAATGAGAAAAAGGTATCAGACAAGCGTTAGGAATTCAGTGTCTATAACTCGGACCACTTTACGTGAGGGGCGTCAGATAGAAATACACCAGGTATTATGAAGAAAAAAAATGAAAACCGAGTTTTTGTCACTTAAAAAATAAACTATAGGTATCGCCGATCGCTCATCACACTCCGCCCGAATGTAGCGCTAGCGGTTCAGTTTACATGCCAAAGCCTTTAAACTTTCCGTTTTACCCGATTCAAAAGTCACGAGTGATTTTCGGAAATCTTCAGTGAGAAACTTCGGGTTCGTTTTCTGTATCAAACTCCATTTATATCCGCGAATTCGCAGACTTCATTGACCGCCCTTTTTCTCGTTGAATATTTTCTAATATAACGAATAACCGTCGGTCTTAGGGCACGTGATCAATCTTTGTACGCATACTCAAGCTCGAAGAACAGGCTCAGGAGATGAAAATAAGGTGATTGATTGGTCCGGTGAGGAGGCGTACACTTCAACTCTCCCACTTCAATATCGAGAGCTCTTACCATATCTTGCTTCCTAGTCATTCACCTGTCCTTTTTTTTACGCCCTTTTTGCATACATAATATGCCTTTCATGTGGGTCACGCATTCTTCGCTACCCCCTTCTCACTTTCCTACTTTCCCATTCCGTCAGCATATATATGATCAGGTTTCTCTAGCCAATCCATTGCTCAAACTCCTTTCCGGGTCGCCGCCGGCCATTTCAACGAACCATCGCCCATTAACTTTCTTCTCGCAAACCCGCGCGTGAAACAGTATTGCGTGAGCACCCAGGAATCCATTAGCGGTCAGTAGTTGACTGACGCCAGTAGTTTCTTAAGCCTTTCTACTTTCTAAAAGATCAGGTCCCTCTGATCTGATAACCCCCGACCCCGATGTGCTTCAAGCGAATATACTGTCGGGAACTTTCATCGAAATTGCAGTTCGACTGGTTCGCCGAACTTTCGTAAATGAACGTTTATGTTTTGACTCGTCGCTAAGGGGTGGCGCTGTAATCGTATTTAGTTCGGTCTCGGTGGACGCGAGCGGTCTGGGTTTCAAGGGTGAGTTTCCCAACTGAGCGTTTTAGTCACGTTGAGTGAAACGGACGTTGGCGACATATCCGTGCTCAAGTGTGTCTCGCAGTCGCGTGTCCGCGTCGACGACGCAATAGCGTAGCCGACCACTATCGGAAACGTCGAATCCGGTTCGAGAATTCGGACGCATATCGTTCCGTCGAACGCTCGAAGGGCAATCGGTGCGTACAATTAGCTCGCTCGGCGAAGGGTATACAGTATAATAGGAGTGAGCACTGGCGCGCGACCCGAGAGAATGTGTGTGTGTGTGTGTCCTTCGGAGGCGAAAGTGAAAAGGGGAGCGTGCCGCTGTATACGCCACACCCCGTACCAAGGTCGATAGTGTTGGGATTTTATAAGTCACCTATAACGGAAGTCAGGCGTGGGAGCGCAGCTTGGATACGAGTGTGTCGTCGGCGTTCGTATCGGTCGTTTGTTCGAATTAATCTGTTTCGCAATAAGTCAGTCCGAGAGCAGCCAACGCTTCGACCCTCGAACACACTCTAAAAAAAAGCCCGTGAGTCTGCGAGTTGTGACATTAAGCAATGCAAGCGTGACGTTTTGCATTGCTTAATGTCACAACTCAGACTGCGTTTTTTGGTCTCAACAGATGTTTCGGCATCGTGATTCACTGAGCTGCCTCCGTAAGTTGCGGTGATTGGCTCTCGGAGTGTTGTGCGGGAAAGTAGACGCACAGACACTTTTTAGAGCGCAGCGTCAAAATGTATTGTCACGGCGTGTACACTATATGACCGGATAAACCAATCGCGGAAGGTGAATGCGCTGTGTTCCTACGCTTTTTTGCTTAAATGTACTCTAATGCGACTTATGACCCTCTTAATGTAACCTGTACAGTAATCAATGTACTCGCGTTTGAGTGTATGAATTATTGTATGTAAATTGCGTAACGAATCAATGCGCTTTCGTATGAATAGTGCACTTTTATTATTTCGAGTGTATTACGGGGTGTACTGTGCAGTGCTTGGTTTAGACGAAAACTGTGAACTCTCCCAGTGAATGAACCCTAATTATTTTCAAGTTGGAAGGTGTAGCCGGCGCCGCTATAGGGGTGGCCAATGTCGCCTTTTTATTTATTTTTCTTCTCAGTTATTAAAGAAAGATGATTGAGCGTGTTGGGGGGTGGCAAAATTATGAAAACGAAAGAGGGGCATAGAAGGCAATACAGACGACACATCCTTGCGTCGTCTGTGGCGTCTTTTATGTCCCTCTTTCGTCGAACATCGACTTCCATCGAACTCTAGGCCAACGTCGAGTTCAGATTTCGAAAACAAAAGCAAACCTGGTGGAACTCGAAACGTCACCAGGTTCGTGATATCCCTAATGTTATCCCCCCCCCCCCCCCCCTTGTCGTGCGCGTATAATTGTAACTTACAATGGCGCCCTCTAAACAACGAGATCAAAGACTATACCAAAAACAAAGACAATGCCAAACAAAGTAAACAAAAAGAAGTAACGACCTTACTTTTGTTGCGAGGCCAGAGAGAAATTAGCGACGCTCGGTTTTCGCTCGTAATTTCTCCGAAGCCCGCTAACCTCCAGCACGGCGTCGCAGGCGTCGCTCTCGTCCGAT